GTTTCGCATACATCCGCTAATCAGGCTTCGACATGTATTTGAGTTTCTTGCAGTTTAGTTTAACCCTCTTATGTGAATGTTCTTCTTTCCATATCAATTTATTCGATCAACGCAATATTTGTGTTAAACAAATAGAAAATGACGACGAGGGATATAACACATCTGTTCCAAAGCTGCTGTGTCGTGAGTACAAGTTATGGATTTCTTAACGGAATTACAACGAGATATTTTGAGGGTGGTTACAGGTAAGCAGAATACATCTGATCTCTTTCGAAAAGCATCATCAAAAAAGCTGAAATGTTGTATATAATTCAGTGGTGGTTCCTGTCGCACGGAATCCATTGCCAACCATTCCATGTTATGAGTGAGTGAGTGAGTTAAAATTTAACGTCTCCTCGACAATATTTCAGCCATACAGTGACGAGAAATGTTGGGCATACACAATAAATACAAGTAGGTAAATAATCAATCATCGACGGACTGTAAAATAACTAGAGTATCACGGATATGGATATAAAACTAGCATGGAAAACTAAAACATTTTAATAAAAGCAGACAATACAATATAAAACACGGGCTATAGATCGCCAACAACTGAGGGCAGATCACCATACTAGGAACCATGGGGGCTTACATTACTTTTGCTACGTGCATGGACCTTAGTTGGATTTACACCATCCCCTCAGCCGCTGGCGATGGTAGGAACATTTAGCCGAAATTTAAAATAACCAAAACACTACGATTAAAAAATATGGTTAAGCGAAATTGACTTGGAAAGTTATTTTGGTGTGTCCCACCTCGGGACGCATGGCTGGACATGGCTGTCCCAGCTTGTGTTGACCCTCTTCGGGTCGCGTGGTTGTCCCTCTTTGGGACGCGTGGGTGTATGTACACGAGTGTTTGTGTGTACATACAGTTTTTTGTTTTGTTTTGTTTTTGTTTGTGTGTGTGGGGGTGGGTGGGGGTGGTGGACACGGCAACTCCCCTACTCACACTCTGGGGAGCAGACACGGCCGCTCCCCTGCTATCCTCTCAGGAGGACAATAATTTTACACTACTTCAACCCCCTTTGAGGATACAGCCACAAACAATCTAAGTTCATAATCTGAACTACCAATTATGAAACTTTCTCTATTTACAAAACAGATATCAAAATTCATTTCACAAATATATCAATGATTAAATGATAATTAACATTATTAAAAAGATCCCTTACTGTTTTGATATTGAAATATTTATCCCTTATGATGGTGAATTCAACACAGTCAAGCAGGACATGCTTGACCGTGGTTCTCTCATCACAAGGGATACAAAACGGAGGATCCTCACCTTTCAATAAGTATGCATGAGTATATCTTGTGTGGCCAATACGACATCGTTGTATGATGACCTCTTCAAGTCTTGACTGACAACCCAAGTATGTGTAACCGATATAGGGTCTTATTTCATGTAATTTATTGATACCTACTTGTATGTCCCACTTCTTCTAAATTCGATCTCGGATGTCGGTTCTAATGCCAGCTTTGTAATCAGAGTACGGGATAAGAAATGGTGTCACAGATTTGTTAAGTGCTGCCCTGGCAGCAAGATCGGCCATTGTGTTCCCGGAAATGCCAACATGGCTGGGTAACCAACAGAGCATGATGTCGTATTGGCCAGTAGCAAGATAATTATACAATTCAATAATTTCAAATAAAAGTGGATGTTTGCAAGAAAGATTTTTAATCGGCTGAAGGCAAGAAAGAGTCAGAACAATTAAATAGTGTTTATATTTAGGGTGTGTATTAATATATTTATACTGTAATGCATTAGTTTCTGATTTTTTCAATGTGGTCAATGTTAGGTCAACTTGGGGTCTAACCAATTGCCAATGAGTACAAGAAAGAAGACGGGAAGGAGCTATATTGTCCAGGTCAATGCCGGCAGCAGAAATAAAAGGTTTAATTCTGAGCCCATGAGGCGGAACAAGAGAAGGTTTCTTATTGTATAAATCCTCATAGAGGGGATCAAAGACACAATTAAATGCAGGATTGGATTTGTTAGAGTGTAGTTTTGTAGTATATTGTAAAGATAATTTTATACGTCGTTGTGTAAGAGATGGCTCATCTGTCTCGACGTAGAGACTGTCAACAGGAGAAGTTCTAAAAGATCCAAGACAAAGTCTGAGACATTGGTGATGGATAGAATCTAACATTTTAAGGTTGCTTTTGCAGGCTCCACCATATACAATGGAGCCATAATCAAGTTTAGAGCGATCTGTATAAGTGAAGTAGGGTAGATTGATCCCCTCCCCATTTTGAATTGGAAACAACTTTTAACAAGTCGAGTGCCTTCCAGCCTTAAGAGATTTAATACGCGGCAAAAACGTCAAGTGGGAGTCAAAAATAAGACCCAAAAACTTGGTCTCTTTTACAACTTTGATAGGTGTGCCGTTTAGAAATAGTTCAGGGTCTTTATGTGGTTTGTATTTACGGCAGAAATGTATGCAATTAGTTTTGGACTTAGACATTTTCTAAACACCATTTATTTTCTCATGTTATGTGCTCACTGACTTGGCTGACACGTCATCGTTTCCCAATGATAGCGTAGATCGATGCTCATGCTATTGTTCACTGGAATGTCTGGTCAGGACTCGATTATTTCCAGTCCGCCGACATATAGCTGGAATATTACCATGTGCGACGTTAAACAACAAACCAACCCAGTCGTGTTGTGTTGGGTGTTGCTGTTATCCGATCTCTCAGCAATACCCACTTACGTGAAACGTACGTAAATGCTCACAGTGTCGGTCACTGAATGGTACTGAACTTGTCTGTTTAAAGACAGTTTCTTTTGGCTGGAACACTGCTCCGTTTAACTACACACTGCATATTTTTATGAAAACAGCGCAGGTATACTGAACCTTTGATAATGGTTGCTATACATTTTCATTGGTTCTTCAATTCAATTTCCCGGCAGTAGGGTAGCCTAGTGGATAAAGCGTTCGCTCGCCACGCTGAGGACCTGGATTCGAATCGCTATATGGTCACATTGGTGAAGCCAATTTCTGGTGTCCCCCGCCGTGATGGTGCTTGGATATTGCGAAAGCGGCGTAAAACGAAACTCACTCACTCAATACAATTTCCAAGATAAGAACGTCACACAACACGGCGTATCACGCTGAAGCGTCTACAGCTTTATTGTTCATGACTGCATATGAAAGGTTAAAGTACAGAAACGCACATACGTGCCAAAGAGAAGAGTTTCTGTGTTAATGCAGTTACTGCAGATAAGAAGCAGATAACATATAATAATAATTTAACACTCTGTTACTGGGAAACATGTCCACGTCATAAGTAACGTCATCAATGGTCGAAACCAGCACTGTGATAAGTTTAACTTCTTATCTGCAGTAAGGTAATTACAGTTATAGAAAGTACTTGAGTATATGACACACATCACACACAACGGTCTGTTCTTAAAGTGTCGTTGATCTTTTTATTTAATGTGTTTTCCTATTTGCATTTTGTACGTAGTGCAAGTACAATTGACGTCCATTATATGTATTTCACGTTTCTTTGTACCCTTGTAACTACCGAATCCTCTGTGTTATCTAGACAGGTCTACTATCACCTAAACGATCACTACAAATCGTATGTATCAATATGTATTTAAAGTTAATCTATATAGCAAACTTGTAGAAACGCGTGGTGTCATGGCCATGTCCGATTGTGGTCAGTTTAGGTTCATCACTGCGAGGACAGCAACAAAGGTGCCCAGCAGGATATGCACCGACATTTTCGTACCAGCACCTAAAACATAAATGAACATCTAATGTAGGATAGATAAGTTTACAATTTGCTATCAAAGTGAACAGTGCATGCAGTATTGTCATTGATATCGGTAGCGTTTAGGTCTCATCATGTTGGCTTTCTAGATGGTTGGGAATACAGCGAGTACTTGATATACCGCATCCAACATGAATATTAATACAGGTCCATAAACACCAAATGGGTATGCTGGTACACTGATATGTGATTACCTTCTATCATTAAAAAGGACTTTTTTCCAGGAGTAGCTCATCTTTAAAGAATTTAAAATCGGTTAGACTGATTGTTATCAGGTGTTTGACCATTTCTATTTCGTATGCGGTGATAAGTATTTTTCAGTGACATTTAGTATCCGCCCTTTCTATATAAAAGATATCAGTATTATTTACCATGTGCAGACTGACTTCTTTTCAAAACTGAATGTTTTGGTTTTTACATGTATAGGGCGTCGTTGTCGTTATACACAATACCCCCCGTGGGCAGTCTTTATGTTCGAGACAGTCAGGTTCTGTTAACAAAAGAACACTTTGAATATTATCCGCCGACAAATACATACACTGGCATGGGTCAGGTAAACATGTGGCTTTGTGAAACTTCAATTTCTCTATATGATACCTCTGTAAATATGTTGTTTTTAAAGAGTAAATAATGTATGTCACTCTCCTAAGTTGTTGGAGGAAATGAAGACCATTCATTCATTCATTCATTCACAACCTGGTGTATAGCTTACAAACAAACAAACAATTAACTTGTGGAAAGTTGAAGTCAACCCTCTAAGCATAGAGACATATGGAGAGTGTTTGCCACTTTGAGCGAGTGAGTGAGTTAGGTATCGGTAGTATTTCAGCCATACCGTGTCAAAGCCAATTATGCATTCATGACACATAAAGTTAAATTACTTTGAATCTTGATGATGGATGTAGATGTGAAACAAATGAGGCACATTCAATGACTTCTTTCGTCTCTGCTTCATGTTGGTACATCAATGGAAGAAAGGTGGTTAAATGACCCTTTCTAAACGATATCAGATGATTGATAAACTTCTTGAACAGATTTCCTTGCGTTATGAAACAAACACATCAAGAAAAGGGGTACAATTGCTGCACATACGGATACACCTATTGTGGTTCAGAGCATATGGTTGTTTTGTTGTTGCATTCTATCCCATGTAAATAAAGAGAGAGGACCTACTGTCTTCACATCTGCCTCCGCCGTACCCTTTTTCACATGTGCAAACAACAGTTTGTCTTTAACGCTACACACTCCTTTATTCTGACATGGGTTCTTCGCACAGGATGCCTGGTCAGCTATAAATGTAAAGCATAATAACTTATGAAATCCAATCCCTGAAACTACAACATAAACTGTGAAAATGTAACATTGGCTAAGATTATACAGGATAATACATAAAATGAACGCACTCAGCAATATTCCAGCTAAACGGCGGGTTAGAGGTATAATGGTATTGCCCTGGGCCTCCTTTCACAAAGCACTAAGGTGATCGTAAGTCACTAAGGTAACCTTAGTGCAATGTTAAAGAATGGGAGTTAAGGTTAACCTTAGTAAAGGTTGCTTCGTGAAAGGAGCCCCTGGATATTAATATTTGACAGTACATAGATTAGAGCCTGCTTCATCAACATCGTGTCTTAAGAATGTATACACCGCGTAGATTCCATGTGCCCCCCCCCCCCCAAAAAAAAAAAAATAAATAAATAAATAAATATAATAAAATAAATAAATGAAAACAAAATATAAATAAAATGAAATAAATTGATAAATAATTTACAATGCCAACCCAACTAATATTACAACTCCAAAATACTATCTAGGAATTAAAATTATAGGCATATATTTCCCCGGAAATGAGTTAAACTAAAAACATCCTAAACATGAAAACATGATGGTGTTGTACATCACTTACCTGCCATACACTGGCTGCTGAATATCACCAGTATCGCGATTAACCCTGTAACATATAACTGCGTTACAGTATTTTAGTTATCATGTGTAAACATTGTGATATTCTTGCATATTAAATAGTCTAATGTGGAGAGCAACAACACATAAATACTTGTAGCCAAAAGGACCGATCCCGAACAGCTTTTGAACATTTTTGAAGCAGGGTAGAGATACTGATAATGTAAACTTGAAACAGTGGGTGGCACACTTCTCTAAGCATTTGAATATTGATTCATCTGAGGTTATGCGTGTTGCAAGCCAACCTGAATCATATTTGCAACTGGATCCATAAACTGGATAAAGGTAGTACTAAACAAGAAGTTCCATTGATCAACTCGAGAAGAAAATGGTATCTCAACTTTAAAGAATCAAACCTACTTTCTCTTTTTACATTAATGTAAAATGTAAATTCAAAAATATTTTAATGTCAAAACAATCAAGGATCTTTTTTATAGTGTTAATCATCATTTAATAATTGATTTTTTTAAAGGAAATAGAGTTGTTAGATAAATTATGAATAATATATTTTGTAAACAGTTAACTTGTATTTTAAACATGGTAGCATAAATTAGCAACTGCGATTGTAAGTGGCTGTATCCCCGAAGAGGGTTAACATATCGTAAAATTATTGTCCTCCTGAGAGGGTACGTTATCCTAAAGCTTTCAAAGTCAATTTCCCTCAACCATACTTTTTAAATCGTAGAATTTCTGTTATTTTTAATTTCGGCTGAATCTTCCTGCCATCGCCAGAGGCTGAAGGGATGGTGTAAATCCAGCTAGGGTCCATGCAGGTAGCAAAAGTAATGTAATTCCCTATGGTTCCTAGTATGGTGATCTATATCACATCCTTTATTCCAAGTACCATATCTCTCTTAAACAAAGGTGGAGATACCTAAATCAATGACTTTATGCAAATATGTTTTGTATCTCTCTGATGTGTCAATAGCTCTGCTGATGTAACAAGAATTCCTGAAAAGGCATTAAAGTATTATCCTATTCTATTCTATCTACCTTCACCGCCTCCTTGGTGTAGTGGTTAGAGCGTTCGCCCGGAGAGCTCTATTTGATGAACTCGAGGAGAAAATGGTATCTCAACTACTTTCTAATTTACATTAATGTTGAATAAAATATTCCAAGGCTGGAACAATCCTTCCGGGAAAAAAGATGTAAATGTCCCATAATTAAGTTTCGAGTGAAAGAGGACCCCGAAAATCACACAGGCATGTCATTGGTTGACTCCATGTGCAAGATATTACAGTTCTGGTACTCGTCAAGAGAACCCCGAAAATCCCAAAGGCATGCCATTGGTTGACTCCATGTGCAAGATATTACAGTTCTGGCACTCGTCAAGAGGACCCCGAAAATCACACAGGTGTCATTGGTTGACTCTATGTGCAAGATATTACAGTTGTGGTACTCGTCAAGAGGACCCCGAAAATCACAAAGGCATGCCATTGGTTGACTCCATGTGCAAGATATTACAGTTCTGGTACTCGTCAAGAGGACCCCGAATATCACACAGGCATGTCATTGGTTGACTCCATGTGCAAGATATTGCAGTACTCGTCAAGTGGCTGTCTCTTAAGTCAACAGCTGTGTAATGCCTTTTATTCCCGTATTTTTCATAATGGAAGGCTACCGTGGACAGGGTATACATGTGTTTCCTGATGTAAATAATATGTTTGTTAGCAGTTGGTACATTATTACATTCCTGATTCCTTTTTGTAAAATAACATTGATAAAAAAAGAATGTGAAACAGGTAAAAGTTATGAAAAGTGTTGCCCACTGTTACACTATAACAAGATGTATCAACATAGTCAGAAGCGTAAGTTAGTGTCAATTTATATCTTTCGAAGTTTAGTAATTACACCCAGAATAGTTTGGACAAAAGCACAATGGTGCCTTGCATCACAAGCAAACAAAGCCTTAATACCAATATACAGACACAAAGCAAAAGAGAGTAGGTTATATTCATTGAACTGATCTTTTCAGAATTTGTGATGCAGTGGTTACACCGGTATTCTGCTAGGGATCAGAATGTGGTGATAAAAATACTGTGAAACTGCTGAAAATGGACAAAAGTGTTCTGAAGGTTAGTAGAACTACAAGCAATATTTAGGGCAGTGAACAAACCTATAAGTATTATAAACACTCAAGGAATACAAACGATGCATGATTACATATTTTTTGTAATGTACAAAGATGACTACTAGGAATGATATGTCTGTCAGAGCCATGTATACGTATATTCTCATGGATGCGGTTTGTCTACCTTCCACGAATTACAATGACAAATACATTCCTTAAAATCTTCCTTCAAGTATTTGTGAACGATTCATAAACGTGTGAAATGTGACTTCACACTTGGTAATTACACGAATACTTACCCCCCATTTTCAATACTTGATCCTTCATATTAACACAAAATACTTGCATGCAATGAACACTGTGGCAGTAGGCGTCGTTTTATATGAAGTCAAAATGGTATGTACCGGTGTATATGGATTGTGATTGGAAGGAGGAGTGTCCAAACATATTGATGTTATGTGATAGTGACACATACACATGCTCACGATATAGTCGGATTCTTACAATCTCCTCTGCTCTTGCCATACATTTCGTATGAGTAACTATGGAAACGATTTTTTATCTTTCATTTACATTTGTTACAATTCGTCCTGGTAACACGAGACAAGCAGATACCTGTTATACCATACCTTTCGTCTGAAATGCCCATCTGCTCAAGAAGAGTAAGTTGATGGTATGAACAGTGCAAGGTAGACAAGTTTACTTGATTAGATGGAGCATTCTTTGGACCGTATCCTGACTAGACTTTCTTTGAAACTAATATTGTAATACTAGTAATAATCTTCTTAATCACATATTAATTTCTATCTACGTTGAGTGAGTTAAAATTTAACAGCGCATCGGCATTTTTTCAGCCACATAGCGAGGAGACCATGTTTACACATATACAAATAAATAATTTGCACAAAGTAACACTCAAAAGCAAATTTTCATATACATAAGATCCTAATATCATAACACTAACATCTCAATAATATCTATTTGCAATTTAGATATCGTCGCAAAATGACATCATCAGGTGTAACCGATTGGAACTTTAAATTCATGATGCTTATTAATTCGAATTTGTTTGTAAATTATCAACTATCTGCATCGAAAGTGTGAACGAGTCGCATATGAAAAAACACAATTGGCTTGCAAGTCGTTGTCAGGTGCCCCAATATGTTGTCCTTCAAATAGGATAAGAAAATGCCTTCCTGTGTAAATATCTCGCCTTAATTGTTGTACTACAGCAGTTTCCAAAACAATGTTCATATTCTTGAATACGTATTTGGCAGAAACTATATTTTTTTACTAATTTCAACTGTATTTTTATGTTTATTTTGAGTCAATTTTTATTATGAGTCAATGAAATATAGCGAAATTGCACACTGGGAATGCAGACTTATCTGTCTTTGGCACCAACTCGAGGAAAGTCAGTTTGAGTGTCACATGGAAACGTGTGGTGGCGCTGAAGTCAACACCTCGTGTGACCACCGTGGGCATCCAGAACTGCCTGGCATCGAACCGCGACGGCATCGAACGAATATCTCAGAATCTCGTGTTGGCCAATCGCAGCCCACTCTGCCTGTAGTGCATGTGCGAGTTGCTGAAGTGTCTGGGGCTGAGGGTTATGGCGTCGCACCCGTCTGTCCAGGGCATCCCACAGATGTTCGATCGGGTTTAAGTCCTGTGATCTTGAGGGCCAGGGGAGCACATTGATGTTGTGGTTCTGGACGAAGTCTCTAGTGTGACGTGCTGTGTGGGGTCTGGCATTGTCCGTTGAAACAACTCCCTCTGGCGATCAATGATTGGAAGGAGGTGCAGGCGTAGGATTTCGTCACAGTACCGTTGAGCTGTCAGGTTGCCCTGGATCATCACCAAATCACTTCTCCTACGGCAGGTGATCGCTCCCCACATCATAACACTTCCCCGGCCGAATCTGTCCACCTGGGGAACGCAAGCGTCAGCGAAACGTATACGTCGACGTCTCGACACCCCCGTTATTCCACAGCGTCGTTCCAATAGAAATCGTGATTCATCACTGAACCAGATTCAACGCCAATTCGGTAGGTTCCAGACCTGAACGTTGGTGCACCATTGAACTCGATGTCGACGATGCTGTTGTCGAAGCACAGGGCCAAAATAAGGTCTTCTGGCACGTAAACCAGCCTCTCTCAACCTGTTCCTGACGGTCTGTGCAGAAAGCCTCCTCAATCTGGGTATTTGTCGAGCGGTACTGGTCGCCGTAGCTGTTCGATGACGTAGGTGATGTACCCAGATGAAGCGATCCTGCGCCACAGTGGTCGCTCGAGGTCGCCCACTACGAGGGGCATCTGCTACCGCATTCTGTCCGCGATAGCTCTCCCAGAGCCGTGAAATGGTGCTTTGGTGAACATTCATGCTTCGGGCAACTGCACGTTGAGACTGGCCAGCTTCAAGCAAACCAGTGGCGATATGACGGTTGGCTTCACTTAGACTTGGCATTTTGCGTTCGTCAACAATATTCCAAATACAGTGAATAATCGACAAACAGCGATCAACCTTTTATACCCATCATTGAGACTCTCTGATCCCCAACTTTCACGTGCATTGCATGTGAATTGTGTATTCTGTGACAGTACACGCCGAAATTGAAAATCATGCTGTTAAATACGAGTATTTTACGGATGGTGCGTTTTGTTGTGATGTTTCAAAACATAAACACCATAGGACTCATAAACAGAGCAAAACCTTTTGTAAAATGAATCACACTTTAATTCATTGCTACCTGGAATTGCTATTTTCATGATGCGTTTCTTTTTTGGGAGAGTATATATTCTGATTGATCCACGTTTAGCAATAATCCAGCAACATCACGGTGGCAGACACTAGGAATGGGTTGCATACATTGTACCGATATGCGGAATCGAACTCAGGTCTTCAGTGTGACGAGCGAA